TACACCCATGAAAAGACAGTGTGCCTCTAGCGGCCTGGGCAGGTACTGCACCTTGCTCACACTGATTCCCCACAAGGAACCCCTGGTCTCAGGAGCCTACTATAAAGCAGGTATGCAGGAGGCACTGAGGACAGCACTGAGCACTGGGGACGAGGGGGCACTGCTGCTGCTGCGGTGTAGACACCTGGGGAACACAGGTTCGACCTCCACCCTCTGACTGCAGAGGCCAGCAGAACGGCCAGGCCTCTAGGGGGCTGCCACTGTGCACTGTGAGGCAGCTGAAACATGGCTCATTCAGACACATGAATAGCCCATGGGTGCCCACACAGATTGAGGATGTCACAGGCGATACATCGAGACTAGGGAGGTACCCCTGGCCACACAGCACCTTCCCCAAAATGCTGCTGGTCACACGTCAGTCGCCATTAGAAAGGGAGAGAGATGTACATTAATTTCAAATGATAATGAAATGCACCGCATGGCTTTTAGCATAGATGGTTTTTCAAGGAACTTTTGAAACATGGTTCTTGCCCAGTTGACCATGCCGAGCCCTTCTTCAGAGCCTGTACACAGAGCACACCAACAGGGATAAAAGCGCTAAATGCTAAGAAGCAATGCGACTCACATCTTGGAAACAAACCTCGATGCAGGCAGCTCACTGTCCTGCCTGGCCTCCCGCTGGGTCCTCTTATAACAGGAACAGATTCTCCACTTTCCATCATGCTTGCTTTCTCCACTACCTGCACAACGTAATCCAATGAACCAGATGACCACCATTTCAACATATCCAAACTCATATGCAATCAAAAAGCTGTGAATTCAAAACATTAAACTTTATAGCTGTCAAAAATGAAATAAGTTTATCTTTATTCCACTATTGTTGAAAAGCGAGTTATTTTGGCATCTTTGAAATCTGCACTTCCCAAACCAGGGGCAGGGCAGCAAGGACCTACCCTCACCAGGAACCACTGAAAGGGGATCCGACAGCTCACAGAGAACCAGAGCTGGGCCTGGCTGTGTGACACCCACCGAGCTCTATAGGTCCAAGGCTAGAGCTCAGCCTCTCCACGGATGGCAGCCTTCACTCACTACAGTCCACAACTCTGAGTCCTCCATGACCCACCTGGAGCATCTGGGATATTGGAATAGCCTGTAGCAGCGCCCACCACCGGCCACTCATCAGGGCTCCCTCTGACCTTGGCCCCCTCCTTTGCTGGACAGTAGGGCGGGAGGCTGGGAGGACATCTTCCCAAAGTCTGAACCTCTCCCTGGCTGGTGCATAGGTCTTCATGCCCGGAACGTTTGCTGACCTCTAGATTGGCTGCCATTAATTACATCAAGGAAGTGTTTACTTGTTTTAGTCCAATGCTGCCCAAGCTTGTGAGGGAGACAAGAGGCCCTAAGCAGCAAGGGAGAGGGTTGGAGAGCCTCACTCCCCAGGCCCCGGTTTCACGTGCTGCTCCTGGGTCTGCACAACCCACTCATACCCTGCTCCCTGAAATACCACTAGGGTGCAGATTCTGCTCCGCTCTCTTCAGCCAGCAGCACCTCCACCTGTGAGATGCGTGGGCCACAAGTGGAGCCTAAAGCAGCAGGCCAGGGACCCAGGCTACCAGGTCAGAGACTCCAAATGGGGGACTCTGGCACCATCCCTGCCTAACTTTACCCCTCACCTGCTGCCCTGCTTCCCCCCAAGTTGTCCGCCCATGGTCATGCTTGTCCGGGTCTGGCATGAGTGGCCGGGAATTTGCCTATTAACCAGGGCCCTGGGAGGCCAAGGAGGCCCACTCAGTGAGTCTTGGATCAGCCGGATTTCAGGCACCTGCAGGAGATGTGATACAGGGAGTCACAGCTGGGCATTCGCCTTTTTTAGAAACTACCTCAGACAAGGCTGAAGGGAACAGGTGGAATTCATTTCAGCAACCTTTCTCTGATAACCTAATACAAGGGTGCTTCAAAGACGCCAGGGGGGAATGGAATTAAAAGTTTTGTTGTTCATGGAAAATTAAAAGTTTGAATTTCATGCAAGTGAAGGGACTCATCAAAGCCTATTAAGGAAAAGCTATGTATGAATTTTTGCCCGCAAATTAAGCTTTTAATTCTGTTCTTCACTCCCCCTCCAAACTTTACGACGTTCCCTTGACAATTAAAAAATGCTGCTGTTCTCTAGACAACATAAGAAGCCTAAGTCCGTATGTTTTGTCTTCTTTCTCTGAGCAGCCACACTGTGGGAATCTGGTGGTCCCACGTGGTGAGGGGCTGCTTTCCCGGGCCACAAGCTAGGGGCTGTCCCCGCAGCATCAAATCTCCCCGGCGGTCAAACACCCTCATTTGCAGGACTCACCCAGAACACGCAGAGCCTTGCAGGGAAATGCTGCCGTCCAGGGTTCCCCAGTCCGTCTTCTGAACAAATAAAGCACGCCCAGTGCCTGGCATCACCATCCAATTCCAGAAGCTTCTCAGCAACCTGTCCCCGGTAAACACCAGCTTCTCTCCCTCTACTCCTGGGTCTTACGCAGTGCTGTGAGGCCTGCTGGGCTTCATCAACAACACAGAGCCGTCTCCTCCCAGTTTGGGAGGAGGCTAGTCCAAGGCCAAGGTGCGGCAGGTTCCTTGTCTGAAGGGAACTGCTCTCTGTCTCCAAGGCCAGTCTCAGGCTGTCCCCCGCAGAGCCGAGGAGCGAGCGGACTGCACGCGGCGCCCTCTACAGGGCCTGATCCCGCCTACGAGGCCACAACCCTGAGCGTATGAGCAAGTTGGCAACAGCTGCGGTTTGGAGCATGCTCCATTGGTGACTCTAGGCTCGGCCCTGTGCTGTGACTCAGGAACTACCTCAAGGGGCGCAGTCTCGAGTTCAAGGGAGCGCTGGCGTCTTTGGTCCTGAAGAGACTTGAACATGTGAATTCCCCACCCCCTATTTTTTTTTTTAAAGATTTATTTATTTTTATTGGAAAGTCAGAAGATATACAGAGAGGAGGAGAGACAGAGAGGAAGATTTTTCATCCGTTGATTTACTCCCCAAGTGGCCACAAAGGCCAGTGCTGCGCCGATCATAAGCCAGGAACCAGGAACTTCCAGGTCTCCCATGCAGGTGCAGGGTCCTAAGGCTTTGGGCTGTCCTCAACTGCTTTCCTGAGCCATGAGCAGGGAGCTGGTTTGGAAGCGGGACCACTGGGATTAGAACTGATGCCCATAAAGGATCCCTGGTGTGCAAGGCAAGGACTATAGCCGCTAGGCTACGACGTGGGGCCTATGTGAATCCCTTTAACAGGCCCCAAGTGCCAAGTAATGGGGAGAATTCCTGGGGTGCTGAGGACATGGAGACCATGTGGGCACCGAGGGAGTCCCTCCAAGCCCGGGTATAACTGCCACGTGGGCCCAGGGATGCCAGAGCTGAGCTTGAAGGGTGGCGTGGAAAAGGCCAGTAAAAATGGAAAACGGGGTTTGGAGTGCCTGGGCCTATGGTTTTGCTCCTGAGAGGAACAAGGCAGAGGGCTACTGGGCAGGGTAACAGAGATTACCTTCCCCTGCCAGGTGACCGTGCCAGAGCTGCCCTGGGCGTTGCAGGAAGAGGAGGCAGCAAGAGGGGCAGCTGGGGGCAGTAGCTTGGAAAGGTGGGACATTTAGGCAGGGCTCTAGATGTCCTATGTGGGCCTGGAGGGCAGTGGCCCGTCCCCGCTTACTCCTGCCTGTCACAGCCTGTCCCTGCGCACAACCAGCGCAGTCTGACACAGCTAGAGCAGCTGATAAATGGGCTTGAAATTCACCTGCTGAAACCGTGACTGGGCACCCTCCACCCTCGCCAAAAAAGCCCCACAACCCACTTCCAGTGTGTAGATGGAGGCCGCTGTCGCAAGGCCCTATAGACTGGGGAATAATACTTGCTTTTAGAAAGATTTGCTCCCCCCTGACCCGCGGTGCTGAGGTCTGAGGACAGGGTGCCAGCGTGGCTGGGTGGTGGCGAGGGCAAGAGAGAACGAATGGAGAGAATGACTCACTTCCCAAATCCCACAACAGCCAGAACTGGGCCAGGCTGAAGCAGGGAGCCTGCAGCTCCAGCTGGGTGTCTCCCATGTGGCAGGGACCCAGGTATTTGCTGCCTCCCAGGGTGGGGTGCTTTAGCAGGAAGTCGGATCAGAAACAGACGGGCTGGCCCTCAGACCAGGCCGTCTGCGATGGGCTGTGGGCATCCCGGCTGCGCTACAACATCCACCTGGCGCCGACAGCCGGGTCTGGAGCTATCTGCCAGGACTCAGAATGGGTACTGCCACTTTCCCTGCACGTCTGGGCCAGGGCACAGTAACATCTCTCTTACCGACGCAGTAATTAACAAGCACCTGCCAAGTGCTGGCATGGAAAGCAGAAGAGTCGGGCTGAGAAAATGATTTAGTTGGGAATTACTGGGAACAAAAAGGGCGTTCAGAGGACGTGTGCACAGGACAAACTGCCCCACAGTTTGGGTTTCCTTTTGGGGGTACCAGGTTTATGTAACTTCCGTCCCTTTTCACTTCGGTAATCCTCGGTACTGGATAAACATCACTTATTTGGTTTTGTTGCGCGCGGGGGCGGTCAGGGTGTCAGCTCCGTGGATATTAGTATTCTGAGGCCAAGCGGTGGGGCGGGGCGATCTTTCTCTGAGCAGCCGCCGGTCGTCCTTCACAGGCAGGCAGCGTCAGACGCCTGCGACCGCGGAAGATCAGGCTCAGCCCAGGAGGCTGCCAGCGAGGCCACCGAGGCAGGACACAAAGGTCCAGCGCCCAGGCCCAAGGCCAAAGCCCCACCGCGGCTCCAGCCCGCCCCTTCCGTGCCCCGAGCTTAGCCACGCCCCCCTCTCTGCCAGTCCCGGTGTTGACCACTCCGCACCGCGGAACTCGTCCCGGGACCCACCTACCGCCGCTCTCATTGGTTGACTCAATGGCCCCGCCCCCGGAAGGCCTGCTGTTTCTCGCAGCCAATCGGCAGGTGTGGCGGCGGCGGGGCCTGCCGTATCGGGGAGGCGAGAAGGGGGTCTGGCTGGGATGCCTGCCGACTCCCGCGGAACCACGGCCAGGCCTAGGTTGGCCCAGCCTGGCCCAGCCAGGGCTGGCGGCGTGGCGGTGGGCTGCCACTGGACGGTCTGCTAGGCGAACCTGCGGCGGCCTCGTTTGAGGAGGGTTGGTCCTGGGCTGTTTGCGGTCGGAGGTCAAGCCTTGTTGGAATGTCGGGGCTCCACAGGTGTGCGCCTAGGGGGTGGGGCGCCTCTGGGTTTTAGGTCCGCCCGCGTGTAGGGACCCTCACCTTTCACGGCCAGGGCTACGGGGGGGGGAAAGGGAGACTTGAGAATGGCCGGAGTCCCCTCTGATCTCCAGCGGGATCGGGGCACCCCTGGGGTCCCGCAAGTGGCCCTGGGCTGCCAGCAACCCCGACTGCTCAGGAGGGACGGAGTCGGGCTGGGGACAGGATTGGGGTTGGCCTGGTTCCCGGAGTGACCGCTGGGAAATGCCCCCCACCCCCGTGCTAGCGGCCGCTTGGGCAGCTGCCCCTTCCCGTGTTGTGAAGTTTCTTTTCTGGAGTCGACTTTGGAGAGCTTGGAATGGGGGGAGGGGATTGCCATGGCTTTGGACTTGGTCCCAAGGGTGGAAATTCAGATAGCGGGGATACGGGGTGACCTGGGAGGACCTCACGTGATGGGTATGCCACGCAGTGTCCCCGGACCAGTACTTGGGTCTCGGTTACTCTGAGCGAGTGCCGACCTTCCTGGTGAAAATCCTTGGGGCCGCGTGAAGGGCTGGACAGGAGAGTTTTGGACAAAGGTTCTGAGTTTGAGGGTCTCGGGGTCCGGGGGTAGGGAATCCATCTGATTCTTGACAACTCCGGAAGAAAAAACAAAGAAACAGCCACGGATGGAGAAGGGGAAAGGTTGGGCTGGCCTTGGTGTCCTGCAGCAGGGAGAGGCCACCACGCTGTGTGGGATTAACCCTCACCCTTGGTTTCAGTTCAGAAGATGAGGCAGAAGGAAGTGTCGGCCAAGCCCTTCCAAGGCCCCGCGCTGGTGTGCAGGACCCCGACCAGCCACGTGTACATGTTTGAGAATGGCGATGATGCGGGGAACTCCTCTGAGGACGAGCCCCCACTGGCCCTGCGGCCCCGGGGCAAGGAGCGCCGGAAAATGGGAGCCCAGCAGCCTGGAGCCGGGGAAGTGGTGCTGCTTCAGCGGGAGCTGACACAGGGAGACAGTCTCAACAAGCTGGCCCTTCAGTATGGCTGCCAAGTAAGACCCTGGCCCCTGGGTGGAGGGGCTGCTGGGGAGCTCAGAGGCCCTGGCCAGCTATGGGGCAGGCGCAGCCCGCTTCCTGAATGCCTGGCAGGTGTCAGTGCGTTCAGCTGTCCACATGGTCTCCTCTGCTCTTCGCCACACAGAAAGCCCGAGAGCGTTTCCCCCGTTTGAGCACATTGTACTGAGGGCTGTCAGTTGGTGCTGTAGATGCCAGGCAGGATTTAGCCACCATGCCTTTGGCATGCTTGCATTGCTTAAAATTTCTCTTAGACCTGCATGAGCTAGCTCCTGTATGCTGTGCATCTATGTAACCCTGTTTTTGTTTTCTCTTTAATTATGTTTTTTAGCATTCAGAGTGATTAACAATGGCCAAGTAAGTAGGAAAGTATTTCTAGACTTACTACGTTTTCTCGTAGATTGAAACGATTTCATTTTGCTGATGCTGTGCCTATGTATTTGGGTGGCCTTCTCTAAGGCTGTGTAAGCTACTTAATAAAATAACAGCAACCTTTTGCTCCTCCAACTTTGTCATTTATCTTAGTCCGTATTACTGACCGCACTGTGGGGAGCTGCTGTCTTGTCTGGGGAGTCAGGCTCGTCTGTCACAACCTATGGCCGAGCAGTGGTGCCGGAATCCACAGGGACCAGCACAAACTGGGGGTTACAAAACCTGGGCTGCATGGTGAATCCTGACTTCTGATCAATCCATACAGACCTGCAAGGGTACCCCAGGATGTTTGTGGAAAAATGAATGACAAGATGAGTTTGTTTTTCCATGAACTTTTAAAAGTACTCTCACAGAACGGGCCTGAGAAAGAATGGGTTTTCTTACTTAAAGTTAAGGACCTTTGCTGTCTATTAAAGACCAAAAGGCTGCTAGCAACTTAGACGGTAGTTTCAGGACCTAATAAATTAAAGGTGTTTTTCACTCCAGACCAGTTAATTAAGGCACTAATTGATTGCTCATGAATGAAAAGCCTGGGAAGGATTGATTTGAACGAGGCCGGCCCTGGGCTGTGTGGGATTTGAGTCCGTGTTGTGCATTTAGAGCTTTCTAACATGGGAACCCGTGAAGGAAATTTGCCTCACGATTCTTTCCCCCCACCCCACTGCTTCAGTCCTAAGATCTGACGATTTGTGGGGTTTGTCTGGTCCGGTCCCTTTCCTACCTCCCAAAGATTCCAGACTGTAGCTCCAGCACAGTTCTAGAGTCCTCCATGTTCATGATGATGGGGAGTGCTGTGCCACCTTGCGAGAGGACTAAAAGCCACAGGTGGCTTTTATTTATAAAAGAAGTTTGTATGTCCCACTAAGTTTCAGGGAGAGAGAGAACATGGTAAACCCCAGAGTTGCTGCAGGTAGCCCAGCTGCCCGGTGCCCCTGTGGAGCTGGCCAAGGCTGGCGCTTGGGGCAGGTGGGACCATTCCTGGCAGGTGTTCACCAGATTCTGGTGTGGGACACAAGTCAGGCAAACGGGGGCGCTGTTGTCAAAAGATAGAGTGCCCTGCTTTGGAAGGCCAAGGCTGTGTTTCATCTAAAACCATGTTGAAGGAATGGCTTTTAAAAAAAAAAAATCTGTTTTCCAAAACTGATCCTAAAATGCTCAGTTTATATATTCCCAGGAATTTCTGCTTACTAAGCTATACATAAAATCTCAGTGAGAGCCAAAAGCAGCCCATGTTCATTCTGTACGTCCCCTAGCAGCTACTTAAGTGGGCTGGGTTTGGATCTCATCTAAAAAGGTTACAAGACACTTTCTGGGCATGAATTTAAAGGAGCTTCACATATTTTGTTTGTCTTCATGTCTTCAGGTTGCAGACATCAAGAAAGTCAACAACTTCATGAGAGAGCAGGACTTATATGCGCTGAAATCTATTAAGATTCCCGTGAGAAAGCACGGGATCCTAACAGAGGCTCAGGCAGAACTAAAGCCCCTTGCAAACCCTCCCTCAGAGACGGGGATGACCTCTGTGGAGTTGCCAGGTGTGGACGGAGCAGCCACCTGTGCCGACACCGAGGACAGCCAACTGGCAGACTTCTTTAAGGGGATCGACCAGAACATCGAGCGTGCCGTGCAGTCCGAAGTCTTCCTAGGTGACAATGACTGCTGGGAGACCCCCGGTCAGCCCCTGCTCCCAGCTCCCCCGCGGACACCGGCGAATGGGGCAGACTGTGGAATCCAGTGGTGGAATGCTGTTCTCATCATGCTCCTCATTGGGATTGTTCTGCCAGTGTTTTATTTGGTCTACTTTAAAATACAGACTTCTGGTGAGACCCCAAGTACCTTGAACACAACTGCTCCCAATGGCTCAGTGGACTTGAGTGCCGCTCAAGGGCTGTCACCCAGGCCAGTAGTTCCAGTGCCAACCATCCCCTCTGGATAACCAGTTAAGTCCAGCCACCCAGTGAGGCCAATAAGTTTGGTTTGTGAGAAATCAGCCCGATAGGTTCCTGACATGCACCAACTCCCCGGCACGACCTAGGTAACAGTGTCCCTTTGGCCTGCTGGATGTTTGGACACGTTTCCAAAGTCACTGTCATGTTGGCCTCCACGCTGGCCCTGGGGAGTGGCTTTGTCATTCCAAGGCTGCAGGATCCAAACACCAGTTCACTTAGCCTTTATCTCTGGTGAGAAGCAGCAAGATGTGTCTGCATGTGGCAGATGGCTGTGTCCTAAAGACATCTAGAGGACTGGCTGTGAGGGTCTTCACAGTAGCATTGTGGAGGCCCCCATGTTTAGTGTACCCCAAGGGAGAGGAATGGCCTTGGCCAAGAGACCTGCCACATGGAGCATTGCCAACGGTTGACCTGCCTTCCTTATGCAGTGTCCCCTGCTTGCTGTGAATTGGGGACTGGCTCTGAGAAGTGGTCTTCTGTGTTTCTGTAGGACAAGCACTGTGGAATGGTGTTGCTATGTTCCCAGTTGAGAGAATAACAAATTCTAATTGCACCAAGCCCCACTCTGTTTTTAAAGACTTATTTATTTTTATTGGAAAGTCAGATATATGCAGAGAAAAAGATCTTCCATCTGCTGGCTCACTACCCAAGTGGCTGCAATGGCCAGAGCTGCGCTGATCCAAAGCCAGAAGCCTCCTCTGGGTCTCCCACATGGGTGCAGGGTCCCAAGGCTTTGGGCCATCCTCATCTGCTTTCCCAGGCCACAAGCAGGGAGCTGGATGGGAAGCAGGACAGCTGGGATTAGAACTGGCACCCATATGGGATCTTGGCACATGCAAGGTGAGGACTTTAGTCACTAGGTTACTGCACAGGGCCCTTAAATTTGCCATTTTGGGCAGTGCTAATGCCAGCTGCTGCTGTATTAGTGGTGCTTCTGTGCCGTGACATCTGAGAACTGTGGAACCTGACACACGGGCTAACTGCCTGTTTTCCCATTGGGAGCACTGCATCAGTGCCAGCAACCTGGTTTCGTGCAGTCAGCATCTTGGAAGCAGCTGTAGTTGAACAGTGGCTGGAGAAAAGGACACGGACTTGTCACCAAGGTTCCAGCGCGAGTCTGGGAGTAACGGCCTCACGCGTATCTGATGTGGGGCATTCTCATCATTTTTCCTGAGCCCTTTTCAAGAGCCCTAGAACCACAGCAGGAACATGCAGCTGGTACCCCTAGAATAACATGCTTTATACAGTGTGGCTTGTCATCCCAAGGGTTTGAACATGGAAGGGCTGGGATTGACTCTAGCTATGAGAGGCCACTAAAAAGGGCCAGGTGCCTGAGAGAGGAAGGACCTGTGCCCAGGCTATGAGTGGAACAGCAGTGAGTCAGGGGTCCGTGTCACAGCAGGGGAAGGGGCCGCAATGGCCAAGGGCACGGCCTCAAAGGCCTATACGGTACAGACACTGAGCTTTGTGGAAACCTTGGGCCTGGAGACAAGTGTGAAGGATCCTGTGTCAGGAGGGGAATGCAGTCAACGTGTAAAAAAAATCTCTTTCTCCTCAGGGTTCAGTCTGCAGATTCATCTTCAAGATGTTTTCTTAGACACCAAAATGATCTTTTAAGACAAAAGGAACTGTGAACCTTTGTTCTGGAAATGCTCTTCCTACCAAACTCTGGTGCTGCTGAGGCCTGAGGCTTCCCCTACGCTTGTCCCCTTCCGCTTGAGGCATGGCCCCGGCCCATGGGAAAATCACTTAGCAGAGTGAATGTATCCTCTGCTTTTCTCAAATGAAATAAAATCATTTCTTCTGTGAAGGAAACCTGAGTCCCTTTTCATTAATCTGGGGATTGGTGACTGGCATAAAAGAGGTGGGATAACGTTGGAAAAGGTGGACGTGTCCGAGCTGGGGTGAGGCCTGTGCCATGCCCAGGGTTCTGTGGCCAGGCAGAGGTCATAAGTGCTGACCACTCTGTTAGGTACTTGACAAGTGGAGCTCCTAAGAGCTATCTGCTGCATTGTCTTGCACATCTTTGCCTGCACTGTAGTGCTCAGCGTTGAAGCCTAAGGAATCGCCGTTGTCGCCGTGCTCTACATTTGCTGTCAGAGGGACAGGCCCTGGGGTCACCCGGAGCAGCTGCTGCCCAGGAGAGGAGCATGAGATGCAGCTTGCCCTGCCTTCTCATGAGGTAGGCTCTTGTCCCGATGACACAGATGGAACAACTGAGTTGTTTGAGATTACATGGAATGTAAGTAGGGCTCCTGGGGGTCCAACTCAATACTGGCAAGCTTGGCAACCGGTACTCTTGACTCCTGTGTTCCAAGTCCTGCCCTCTGCCTGCTGTCTGACGGGCCACACGGAGCCTGGGGGAGGATGATGGTGGCTGAGCTCGGCTCAGAACATGGCACCAGGGCCCAGCGTGATAGCGCAGTGGTTAAGGTCCTCACCTTGCACACCCGAGATCCCATATGGATGGCGCTTCTAATCCAGGCAGCTCTACTTCCCATCCAGCTCCCTGCTTGTGGCCTGGGAAAGCAGTCCTGAATGGGAGACCCGGAAGAAGTTGCTGGCTTCTGATTGGCTCAGCTCCAGCCGTTGCGGCTGCTTGGGGATTGAACCATCAGATGGAAGATCTTCCTCTCTGTCTCTCCTTTGTATATCTGACTTTCCAATAAATAAATAAATATTAAAAAAAAAACAAAACAAACATGGCACCACTTGTACCTTTCTGGCTCTGGCCTCCTGAGCAGTAGTAGAGAGGACAATTTCAACAGGTCCACCATGGGTAGTGGCCTTGCTGTAGTAAGTAAAGTCAGACCTGGTGCATGAATCCCAAGAACTGGAAGCAGCATTCAACTGGCTACACCTCCCAGTCAGCAAGGCCATGGATGCAGACACCAACACAGCAAATGTTCTTTTCATTCAACATAACCCGTCCTTTGGTGAATGATGCAGATACCTTCTCAGCACGAGTGACGCAGGTTGGAGTACGCCATTGATGATGAGCCTTGGGTGTGGCTTTCTTCATGGTTTTTATTTGGGGCTCAACTTTCTTGGATCTGTTGGTTTAGAAGATTTTACCTAACTTGGAAATATTTCAGCCATTCTTCAAAAATTTTTGTCCTGATTATCCTTGAGTTACTCATTTACCATTTGATATCCCATAGTTCACTGGTGTCTTTTTCAGTCTTCCTGTTCATGTTGGACAGTTTCCATTGTTTTCCTTTGCAGTGCCTAATTTGCTGTTAATCCTGTCCAGTGCATTGTCACAGCATGCATTTTCTCTTAATTTCTGGCAATTCAATTGAAGTTTCCTATCTTTCATAGCTCTTGCAAATATTGTGTTCACATGTTCTTCAGCAGAGTATGTCTCTACCAGTTATTTTAACATCCACACCTTCTAATGCTATCATTTGCATCACTCTGGGCTTAGTTTAGTTGGTTTTTGTTCTGGTTATGGGTTGCATTGTGCTATATTTAATACAGTCTATTTGAAAGTCAGAGAGAGGGGGAAATACAGATAGGTTGATATCTTCCTTCTGTTGGTTCATTCCCCAAATGGCTACAACAGCCATGTCTGGGCCAGGCTGAAGCCAAGAGCCTGGAACTCCAGTAGGGTGGCAGGAACTCAAATATTTGGACCATCTTCCTTTGCTTTTCCAGGTGCATCAGTAGGGAACTAGACCAGAAGCAAAGCAGCCAGACTTTGAGCTGGCACTCCAATATGGGATGCCAGCACTGCGAATGTTGATTTAACACAGTAAGCCACAATGCTGGTCCCTAAGGTCTTGCTTTTCTGCATAACCTAATTTTTGGTTGGATGCTGGGCATGATGGGTTGCATACTGCTGAAAGTGAGATCTTGTCTTCTTTCAAATATTTTTGTGCTTTGCTTGAGGGCACAGTGACAAGGGACCAGTTTGATCCTTTTTGCATTGGGGTAGATCCAGAGCAGTCTTTAGTGTGAGGCTAATTCAGCCTTAGAGATTTTACCAGATGCTCTGTTAAGTCTCACCACTCTGGTGGGAACCTGGATTATTCCTGGCCAAAGTTGGGGGCTGGCACTGTTCCATACATATGTACAGAACAGTGCTAAGCTCAAGACTGGGGGGATCTCGGTTTCCCCTGTAGCACTCAGTACTGTGCCCCACACATCCTGCACATCTTGGCCTCCTTGAACTCGTGTCCACTGTTCAAATCAGCTGGATTAGGGCTGCGTGGTGTGGCCTAGACATCCTCCAGGTGGTGAGCTGGGCCTTTGTCAGTTTAACTTGGGTTTTATTTGCCTTTCTGCAGAGAAAGGCACTTCTGCACTTTGCCTCTTTTGAGGCAGAATAGGCCTGTTCTGCTTCTGATCCACAGCTGGAGGTAGGGGAGAGACAACCAAAATGGTGGCATGAAGGGGCAAGACTGACTCAGACCAAACCAAGAGAGCAAGCTTGTCATGGACTATGCATATTGAACTTGGACTGGACTGTGGACAAGAGTGCACACAATCCCAAGGCGGAGCAGACAGCTGCCCTGGCGGTGTATGGATGGCTTTACGCAGGAAACATTACTACACGTTGCTGTCCTGAGTGTCCTCTGGGCTATGCAGTTGGCCCAGCAGCAGTCCTTACATCAATACTACAAAAGGCAGCAATGCTATCCTTGTTTCTTATGGCCACTTTGCCCAACCTTCTCCCACTTCTTCAAAGGGTAGAAAAACTCATGCTGCCAGAGGGGATAGTTGCAGGAGTAAGTGCCTTGAGAAGTTGTATCTACACTATTCCAAAGGTTTGAGTACAGACAGCCCATCCCAAGTATGTGTATGAAAGACAGACAAGAGAAGGTGGAGGAAGGATTGGGGAGGCATGGCATGTGGGAACTATGACAGGTTCCTGGATATCACCATGGGATGAGGTCCATCTTGCTGGACTGATGGCATCCCCCTTCTTGAATGAAGACATAGGAAGACAACTGAAAGCAGAGGCAATGGCATTGGAGGCTTGAGGAGAGTGGAGATGGAATGCACTTACCCCAGAAAGGACATCTAGACTAAGAAACTAGCTGCATTTCTGAGCAATATTGAGTCATTTAACTTTGTGACCACAGTGGATTAAAAATAAAAAGTCCCCAAATACAAATGAAAACATAGCCTAAGACAAAGGTATTGTCTTCAGTCAGTGGGAGTAAAGGTTTGGTTTGTAATAGAGTACCAGGATGACCAGAAAGCCATTTGGGTAAGCCTAAGAGCCACATGTAAGAATACTCTTAAATGGGTTCATGATGTGAAAGATAAAACTAAAAACATGGGCATTATAATATGGCTGTAGGAAAAAGATTCTTAAACCAACAGATGATAAATTTTGGTTAAATTTTGCCTCACAAGAGCACCACACAGAAAGAAAAAAGTGAAAGCACAGCTGACATACTGGTAGTGGAGCAGTGGTGGTATTCATAGCACACATAAAAAATGACAGGCTTAAGGACCATCAACATGGACACCAAAGACTACATCCCAACCGCTAAGGAGACCACGGGGAATAGGAGTGCCTTTGGAGGCCGAGAACTCTGAGGTCACCCAACCCCATCTGGAGCCTCCACAGGGGATGGAAGAAGTCCAAACTCTGCCGTGCAGAAACCAGTGCCGTTGGAACGACGGCCAGGAGCCCTGAGTGATCTGCAGAAACAGAATAATAACAAACTTCCTTCGGGACTAGGGAGGCAGGCTCTCTGGTCCTTGCCTGGCTCTGGCTCTGGGTCCCCACCCTCCCTCGCAGTGACCATCAGGATCGCTCCAGTAACCCCTCAAAACAAACATACAAATAAACAAAAAAAAATCTAGAATGGACAGACAACAACATGGAAAACTTAGAATCAGACAGGAAACAGTCAGCATGGATCCAAACATGCCTCTCTAGGTGGGACACAAAGATTAGTTATGGGGGATTTCTTTGCACACCCATCCTAAACTGTACTGTACTGTACTGTACCTAAACTGATAACTGTATGGAATCAGGTTGAATATAAACCGAAATTGAAATGTCTATGAAGTCACAGGATGTAGTAAAGAAACTGCATTTTCCTATAAACATACTATTAATACCATGTCAATTAATGCCATAAGGTTGTAAATGGCTGTTGATTTTATGTTCCGGCTTTTAATTGATTGGGATGATAATTTGCTGGCTTTACCTTCAGACCAGAGATGGTCTCACCAAGAAATCGTTGAACCCACTAGGATAATAAGACACTGGACTTTATGTTTGGTAAATACTTCCAATGAACGAACCTCAACTGAATTTGAACTGTGGTAACGCAGCAAGGTGGAGAAATCCACCATGGGGAGAGGATTCGGGGAGGGGTGAGGGGAATCCCAGTGCCAATAACACTGTGTCACATAATGCAATGCAATTAATAAAAAAAGAAAAAAAAAATGACACGCTTTCATCCGTAACACACAGACAGACTTAGGTGACAGATGCAGGCCAAAACCCCAGTCGACAAATGAGAAAAGCACTTCAACAATTTGCACGCACAAAAGCAATGTAAATGGCCTGTAAACATATGAAAACATTCAAATGCTCTTACCAAAAAAGCATATTAAAATATGCAAAAGTAATTTCTCACACATCAGAGTGAGCAAAATAAAAACCATGAGAACACATTTTGTTGGTGAGATTGGAAGCAACAGCTGAGGTCCCTGGAGGGAATGCAAACGGCTCAGCCTTCATGCAAGTCAACTGCACAAGACCTAAGCAAACTACAAGTGCATTTACCGAGCATGCCCAGCTCTAGGGATCTACTCTGAGGTTAAGTCTTGGACAATGCAAACATGCATACTCATTGATGACTCTACTGGACACCACCTAAACGCAGAGCTGTGGCTGATAAATCATGCTACACCTGCAGCGGGTGGGCCAAGCAGCTGTGAATAGGTAGGGAGTTTGCTAGGAACTGACTGCTTCAAGGAATAATTCCGGCACTACTAACAGAAAAAAACAGCTGATCTGGGGCTGGGGAAAGACAGGAGGAGCAACAAGCCAGAACCTCCCTGTGTCTACATGGGGCTGGCTGGGGAAATGGGAGCAGGGATGAGAGAGGGACATTCCTGAGCATCCAGCTTCTGCAGAAACAGTGAAGGTGCAGGTACCATTCACATTGTCCCAATGTGGGATGTTAAAACCAACCAGGATGGGAGAGTCAGATAACAAGGCACAGCCCCAACTACCACAGTGACCAGTGATAAGCATGCCCCCTGCAAGGACGGGGTTCTAAAGGACTGTAGAAGACATGATCTTGTCTGGACAATCTAAGACCCAAGGCCAATCCCCTAAATACTCTAACTAGGAAATGAATGTTGGTCATGCAGGTGAGGGCTGACAGTTCTGGAACTGGTTTCTTTGTATACTACAACTGAACAGACGAGTTGCCTATCTGTAGATGACAGAAGCTGGATTTCTTCCCCCAAAGTCCCAGAAAAGGAAAGGGTCAAGTGGAAACTGGATATGGGTCTGGGAGTCCTGGGAGAGGCAGGAAGTCTGGATGTCTACATACATGTGTGCACCTATATTCAATGCCGGTGGCGTGTCAACAGAAAGCACACTTGACTAGCAATGGACACACCTCATACCCAGATCTTGGTTTCAAAATACCATTTTCTAATTAAAGAAACCAGGGCTGCTTAAGGAGATAGCCAATCTAATACTGGGACAGGAGAAGTACAGGAGAGTGTGTAACAGCTTGTGGTGCCTGTTCAAAATGCAGGGAGTCTTGAAGGATTCTTTGTGCACTACTGGACAGGCAGATGGAACAGGCTGCCATCCTCTGGCTAGCTCTAACTGAAAATCCTTGTCTTGGCTGTGCCAGGCACAGAATCAGCTTCAAAGGAGGAGGAAGCCTACAGCAAGACCAAGTCGGAACTAACTGGGCACTAACAGTTGGCTGTGCCAGACACAGAATGAGCTGCAGAGGAGGAAGCCTGCAGCAAGGCACACACAGGCCGGAGCTAACCAGGCAATGGCAGCAAATTCATTTTCAGCAGCTGCAGTTGTGATTAGGGTATTTTTAGCTTTCAAAATCCAAGGGCTGCACTGTAGTCAGTCAGTAAGGCCAACACAAAAACTCAGCTTTGAATTTGACACCAACAATTTTAGAGAGGAACCAGATTAGGAGAAAAATCAGAACATTTTCCACTGAGTTGGGAAAAAAAAAAAGAGTTCATTTTCTAGGTGAATGATATCAAGGGTGGTGACCACTTAACAGCACATACCAGTGTGCTAGCTACACCTTCTTCCCTCGGCAGCCGACACTCCGTGCACTGAGGTAAGTCTGTCCGCTGCCTCTAAGTCAGTACTGCATATGCATGTAGGGCAAAACACAAATCACTCATCCTCCAAACCGTAAAGACAGGCTGTAGTAAGAGCAGCTTCCAACAATCACCTCTGGATTTTGTGTGAGACGTACTTACTGAAGCCAGCATGAATTTAACAGACGCACACCAATGTTCTCAGAGCAGCCAGGCTAACCTGTTAGGGGGCATGAGGCCAACTGCTTCCTAAAGGCACTGGGCTGGCGGAGGGACCACTACAGGTGAGGCTGCCGGAGTTCTGGGATGCGTTCCCTGACATGGAAAAGAACAGCGCTCCGAGGAGGGTGATGCCTGGGGGCCAAGCCAGTCTTACCGTTGCCCTGGCAGAGTCTGGGTGAGCCAGGTGGTCTTCGCTGCCATGAATTAAGAGACAAAGTTTACACCAACCTTTAAGTATCATCTTAACCTCTGATAAAAAGTTCACTATAATATTTATTGTATAATGAAGAAAAAACAACACATTCAGGGAAAAATTGAGATTAACTTATTTTTCTTAAAAGATTCACCTCAAGGATGGCAACAAAGTCCAGCTTGTGCCGCCAAACGGTTTTACAAGATCAAACCGTGTACAGCTTCTCGTGTGAACTGTTGACTACAAACATTTACCAAATACATAAATCTCTTTTAAAAAAGCCATTTTAAATATAGCAAAGCAGTGTCTTCTTGCACAGCAAAGTGAAGAAAGTTTCTACAGAGAAATAAAAGTTTTACATTTGTAAAATCTTTTTCACATTCTAATAATCTAGCTTCTTATGATCCAATGCCAGGAGTTTTCAGGTTCCTTATTTACTATGTATTTCTTGTGCGCATGATGGTTAATAGAGAAATTATGTTAATGCATTACATGTTACCCTTATATTTAAAGGAAATGGTAAAACACACATTGTTCTTTCAGAACAAACCCCTGATTTAGTTTCTGACACAATGAATGTAATTAGGGCTCAAAAGATGGAGTTGTGATTGGGACCATCTGTGTGTACACAATGGTGACACTCTCAGCCAGGACCAGGTAAGGTGCTTGGGGAAGGTCAGCTGTTGAAAACTGTACTTGTAATTAGTGCAATTTAAGTTGGCTTTTTGTTTTTAATAATAAAATACTTCATCTGGAAAGATAAAACTTTCTATGGTGGTGTCTTATACAAAACACCGGGGTCCTAAAAGGGTTAGAAAAACTGAACCTAAAGCAACACCATCGGTGTCTTCCCCACTTAGGCTTCTTTCCGCCAAGAGATGTGGATGTGGATGCGCTGGCACGTGGTGTCTGGGTGAGGGATGTTGGCCAAGTCCATATGCTCCAATTCATACGGGGCGTATGGGACAAAGATTAACAGTCAAATATTCAGTTCCTGAAAACGGAATACAATGTTACTTGGTCAGTGTAATTTAAATACAAACTCCGAGCCTTGTGTAATATTTTAGAAAACAGTAGTTGTACTGATTATAAACCTGCATAGAAAGAAAGACAATTGAGATACAGTCAGAAAAGCCATCTCATAAGGCACACAAGAAAATAGACAGTAAATGTGAATGTTAACTCCTATTCTGATATACAGCAGAGGTTCATGAACATGCATAAATAATAACTTAACACTTCAAAGCTATAAATGGTTTACAAAGTGGTAAGGATCATGTTGGAAATTCAGTGTCGGGAGGCTGTCTTGTTCCGATCAGGCGTGACCTGATGAAGAATGCGCCTGGAAGTAGCTCAGCGAAGTGAGTACATTTTTAAAGAAAAACCCATCCTTTCCAAAAAAGAGCCAAATACCGATACTGAAGAGAGAAGATAGTGTATCACCCTCCCTTTTTTGGCCTCAACCAAAATTTATGACCCAAACTGCCATTAAGGACAGTTTTCCATCTGCAGCCTGTGACCTGCCGTGGGTCTGTCCCGAGCAACGCCACAGCGCTCAGCGACTCTGATGACTTGTCACAACCTGCAGATGAGGAGTGTCAAAGGAAACATAATTCGGGGGAAACACAATGTAAGTAAAAATTGTAGATAGCTGCTCAGTATTAAGTTTAAAATATAAAATGGCATTTCAAACCCTTCTTTTGAGTTTCTGAGGAAAAGGAGTATTCAAAAATCTGCGATAAAAGATATACAGGACTTTGAATTTTGTTCATGGCACAAGCCCAGTAAACTTGTTCTCACCCATGAGGTGTCTTCCTGTAAGACTAAGGCCTTGTTCACTCCAGGGGAGCGCGTGGGTCCCGTCAGGCGAGCAGGAAGCCTCCACGGATCCACAGCACTTTCTCCCCACGCCAACGCACAAAGCGGGTGACGACGACTGCACTCTGTCACCTGAAGCACCATTCCGCTTTTATAGGGTCAAGGAAAAAGAGATCCTTTCCCCCACAAAGATTTTTCCTAATCATTCACCACTTAAAAACCTTTGTGCTCATCTACTATTTTGTCATTTTCTGTATTATTAAATTAGGTCAGCTTTTTCTACTATATATCTTTTCCTCACAAAAGGCAAATTTTAAATAATGCCTTATAAAATCTGTTACAACACATTTTATATTTATGCAGGATGAACTTAACACCAATTTTTTTTGCCACTTTGCTATTTATGTACACATATAAAATATATAATGATGCTCAACCCATACAGCACAAAGATTACAATTTAACATCACACATTCCCCACCAGTGAGAGGAGAAACCCCTCTATACAATCCTCTGAAAACAACTGGGCTAATAATTAAAATCCAAAGTACAGCGTATTTAACAAAATAGTAAATATTAAACAGTGAATACTCTACTTAATAAGGATCTCGCCTTTTCCCCCCAAATTGGCGGCAATCCACAAAAATATACTTTTTAATCTGGTGACCATACAATACATAGGTACTTACATCAAAGGTGATAATATATTTAAGATGCTATATACACAAAGAGTTTGGCTCAACTTTTAATTTACATATAGAATAAGTGTTCATGGCTTTTTTTTTCCAAGGTTCTGCTTGCAAGTTATTTTTCCCCTCTTAAAATAAAAAGTTAAAATAAGATAGAGCTATTTTCTTAAAAAAAAGTTACAACATACAGCTTTGGCTTATATAAATAATTCATAGCAGAATGTGTTCAAAAGTAGTGAGTATAATTTTATATATAGTCATCAATTCATAAGGGTGTTTTCTTTCATATAAAATATACATGAGCTAAAATCATCAGTTTCTTTAATTTTTAAGATATGAATGTAAAAAGAAACTTCTGATATATTCCAATCATAACTTAATATATTAATTTTACTTTGTTAATGCTCTATATTTCTAGGCTATTATTTTCTGAATATCTCATGCGTGTTTTCTATTCTCTCTCTTTTTTATTAGCTAAAGATCACCTCTTTGACCCAATACATTTTTGCACGTGCAAAACAGTTATGTGTGGGGCTCTTCTGTTTTGTATTTTTGTCTAATTTTTAAAATATCAACAGCCCTTTCCCATGCACCCCTTTGCAATAGAGACCCATGCCAGGTTGGGTAAATAATATAAATGACATTTTATGTACAGTATTGCTTTCTTGGTTCCTGCTTTTCTACTGCTCTGTTCTACAAAGCATTTTTTCTTAAGTAACTACAGTCACCGCACAGTTAAATAAAACAAGTAGGGGGGGCCCACTAGGTTTCTGCAAGCTACTGTAGGAGAATTATATATGGGTACACATTTGTTTGCAAAATCTGGTTATCTTATGAAACAAGTAGTCCAAGGAAGTGCCAGACTGGTCTGTGCCTACAGGGTGTTTTGTCTGCCAGGGGACACACATCTGCAGACCAACAAGCAGTTTGCAGGTAAGTGCCTGATTCTGTGTCTGCAACACACCCAGCCACACACAAACACACACCCACACACACCCACATACATATATATGTACAGGGATATATATGTATGTATGTACATATAAATATACCTAACGCAGGTCCTTATTTACCAATGTAGCTACGATGCGCAGTTCACTGCCAGGACACAAAGGACAAGCAGCAGCCTGGAAGCCCTAGGTCACCCATGCATCCATCCGCATGCGCTTGACGGAAGGGCTTTCTCTGTCCTCAGCGTTTGGCGGACGGCCAAGCACAATTGGAGAGTGGAAGTCACCCCGTGGATCCTCCCGGTCACTGCCATCATAGGAGCTGCTAGAGCTGCTCAGACTGTCCACAGGGGAGCGCCCCATTTCCTGCCGGGGCTGGGGTTGGGGCTGGGGAGGCTGCGGTGGTGGCTGCTGTGGAGGCGGCGGTGGCGGCGGCTGCTGCTGGAAGCCTGATGGGGTCATTCGATCCCGGGGAGGTGAAATTGGTTCTGACTTAATGTTGATGTTTTGGTTGGTATTAATAGACAAATTCGAACCCTGAGATAACTGCCCTCCAGCACTGAGGGAAAAAGAGAGAGAGAGAGAGAGAGAGAGAGAGAGAGAGAGAGAGAGATGGTTTGTGGGCACATCTGTACAACTGTAATGCTTTTACAGACTCCACCTCACTGAAAACAGGCAGCTTGAAACCCTGTCAGAGCCTCCAGGATTGGTTCTGGCACTTCCTTCAGTGCTTAGCACAAAAGAACTGGCATCTTCCTGGGAGGAAAGATAACAGTATGCTACCCAACTCGTAAGTCATTTGGTTCTACTTCCTGTGGGAACCCGAGTACTCCTGCTGATGGAGAATCCCAAACTGTCCGTGCCTATGATAGCTGTGCATGACAGGCACGGTGGTGCCCCTGGGGGGCAGCTGGGGGCTGGGGTGCTCTCCTCGAACTGGTTCACAGGTCCACTTCTGTCCAGGCTCTGTGAAGTCCCTGTACCTTCTCCCTGGGACTCGGGGACTTTCAGGTCCCTGGGTACCACTGTGAATCTCTTCTTCCTATATCCTTATGTCCTCCTGTAAGAACCTTCTCTTCGTCAAGAACCAGAGAAGGTGAGCTAGGTTGGGCCCACAAATCCTGCGTGCACATCCTAAACAGAATCCCCATGCTCCCTGCCTTCTCATTCAGGCAAAAAGAAGGCATGGTAATGGGTGGTGCACTCACTGGTAAGTGGGTATTAAAGGTGACGTGGGGGGGCATTTGCACCTGTTAGACACCAGCCAAGTCTCCCGCCCTCAGACAATCCCTGCTCCCTGAATTCCTTCACAGAATACCCAGTTCATTCAGTAACCAAGCTATGATCTGGAACCATGGGAAGAGAAAAATCTCCCAACACTTTTGCTCATCCAAAACAGAGCCACTGCAAAATTCTTTCCGTGAAACTCAGTGGAGCAGAAGACTGCTCTGGCAGAAACAAAGGAAAGGTCTGGTTACTCACACGAGAGAGCTGAGAGCTGCTTGTCCTAGATGGTGTTGCTGCCAGGCTGACACCTGCCCCAGAGACAGCATTCCTGGGGAGTTGAAGCCTTGTAGAGCCGACAGATCAGCGCTGGTCAGCGAGTAATCTACAAAGATGATAAGACACTCAGTGTGTGCTGCAAGCACTAGGCTAGGCTGAGCTCATTTTCAAACAGAAGTTCTCTAGGTTAAGAGAAGACAGGTACCCCACAAGAAAACACAAGTCTGCTAACTCCCCAAGATTTTCTTTGAAGTGAGTGGTCTGTACAACATAGCTTCTTGTATATTTTTCTGGGGTTGTTTGAATGTAATAAATTCCCATTCTGAACCAAATGTTTAAAGTTCTACTTAAAACACGAGATACTTTCTACCAGCAAGTAAATAGAAATAAACAATGGCCAGCACAAAAGGATGCTCTTATAGAACTGTCATTTTAAATGAGCACACCATCTGCCACCACCCTCTGGAGCAGAAACAGAGGTGCTCACCTAGACTGAGTCCTGCTGATGGGTAGGGACACGGGAAAGACAAGGGATTCCCTCTCATGGGGCGTCATGCTTAGTGACACAGACATTAAACACGTCATGATACATTAACTTATTTAAAAGCACAAGCACTGCCACATCCTCTTGAACACATACAAAATAATTCTAAAGTCATAAAAAGTATTTCTTTGTCAGAGGAATATAAGTTCATTTTGTTATGAATGCTTCAGACATAATCACTGTTACCCAAACTTGGGACATGAGACATTCCTCACATGTGGAATGATTTCAGTTCCTAGATGTTCAGACTGCCTTTAGACTATGCTCTCTGCAGGAAAGCCTGGCAGGGTCCTGCATGTGAATACCTTCTCCACGTATCGCCCCTGGGTCCTTCCAACAACCCATTTGCTATTTTCTCTGTCCAAAGAGCTCAAAGATAGACCAAACTGGATGTTTCCTTTTCTCTAAACCCATTCCTTCTTAAATACTTCCCATCTTAGTAAATGCCACCCACTGCTATGTTGCTCCTAGAAGCTCCTGAGAGCAGACTGAAAGCATTGTGCCAAAGCAACTGGAATGACTGTTACTACGCACTGCTTATGAGAATCATAAAGCAATCACTCCCCTGTACTGCATTCTGAGTAACTGGCAAGGCCAAATGCAACTACCGCCATCCTTCTTGCTGCCTTTGAAACACTAGTTGTTTGGCTCAGCTGCTGGAAAAATAAATCCACATGTGCTCAGTCTCTTAGACTGGCAAATCTCAACTAAACCTGCTGCATATCATGACACTTCACCCCGCCCAAGAGGCTAAGAGCACACTCCTGCTGACCACACTGTCTTCCACCTTTCCAGCGCCCCTGCATCAGGGTATTCATAGATGCAATGTCTAAATGAACGTAAGTGCTTGTGCTTGAATGCTCTTTCCAAGGCAGTGTGATTGGCACTGACAGGAGGAAAGGTCTTTGTTTTGTCAATGAGACACAGGCACAATGACACAGACTGATGACAGAGAGGAAAGCAGTCTGCCCACACAGCCAGCTCCCTCTATATTCCCAAGCTTTGGGTCCAAAGTGAGTTAACACAGCACAAAGACAAACATCTTAACTGTAAAACGCTGGAACAGTGATACGGTCAGTAAGAGACTCACAGAAAACACCTGAGCAGCAAGCTCCTCCCTGCCCCCCTTAGCTTGGTGCCTATCACAAAATGTTGGTGATAGCTACTTGCTTTTTGCCAGGGCCAAAAGTTCACACTGGAGAAACAGAAATATCCTATTCAACTAATTCTACTATCGATCTATTTTTGGTGATTATTTTCCCTAGGCTGCTAAGTATTTTAACATACCCAAGTTTCATCTAAAACACTGAAAAGGACACACTGGCCAAAAAAGAGAGGGGGGGGGTGAATCAGGCAAGGTCCTGGGGCGGGCTTACCAGTGTTGTAGGCGGTCGGCATGGCCGAGTACACAAGTCCCTGTGGAGGCAAGCTCGGGGTTGTCACAGACACTACTGGGGTGGCGAGAGGTTGAGTAGCCTGAGAACTGCTTATCCTCTGAGGATTCTGTAAGAACAGAAACAAGAGGAAGTGTCATTAGGTGGTATTTATATTGATTTAATACATTTATAAATAACTCTCAATTTAAAAGTGATACTTTTCACAGTTTTATTTGAATGTCATTATTTCCTGATGCAGTGATGATGTGAAAACCTAAAAAATACTAATGGGAATAACTATGTAATTTTAAGGGGCATATTTGTACATTAATTATTCATCTTATTTTGTGGCTGAGAGTTTATGAATCTCAGAGACACAATCTTAAAATAGAAACATATAGGCAGTATCACTTCTCTGTGCTAACAAAAATAAGGACTTGATGTCACCACAAATGCTGCCACATTTCACCTAAGTAAACTAGGTATACATTTTTAGCAAAAGCCATCTGTGTCTATAGGCGTCATATATTCATGGCTTTATGAATTAAAATTTGGCCTGGCTCAGTAGTCTGCAGCTAAAGTCCTCACCTTGCATGCTGTGATTTCATATGGGCACTGGTTCTAATCCCAGCTGACCCATTTCCCATCCAGCTCCCTGCTTGTGGCAGGAAAGCAGCTGAGGACGGCCCAATGCCTTGGGACATTGCATCTGCTTGGGAGACCCGAAGACGCTCCTGCCTTCTGGCTTAGGATTGGCGCAGCACCAGCTGTTGCAGCCGCTTGGGGAGTGAACCACTGGATGGAAAATCTTCCTCTCTGTCTCTCCTCCTCTTTGTATACCTGACTTCCAATAAAAATAAATAAATTTTTTAAAAAAATCAAAACTACTTTTCCCTTCAGTATTTCCATTGTAACACTGCTTGAAGTCTTATTAAAGTAGGGCTTGTATTTTGATTTATTTCACTCCTGCAGTTGATTATTTTGTAACAGTAGATAGGATTTTATGATGTCTTTCAGTCCCTCAGACTGCTGAAATGAGGGCTCTTAACAGAGAGCTTTTGAATTAAGTACTGTTCTTTGGGCTGAGAACAGAGCAAAAGTAGATGCTGGTTGTTTCAGCGCATCTACATGGCACCCTATTCACGATGCAAATGAATAAAAAAGGCAGCTTCCAAAGAGCCAAGGGAAAGATGGCAGCCTCTACCTGCAGGGGGAGGACAGACTGGCAGGAGGGAATAATTTCTACCAAACCAGGATTACACGTGCCTAACAGATGACATGCAGTCAGAACACAATTCCAACTTTTCATGTCACAGCTGGAGACTGACATTCAGGGGTTTGCAAATTTAGCCCAGTCTCCCAAGATTATCAAGTGTCACACATGATTTAATTTCCCCTTCAGCTTTTCCGAAAGTGCATGCAATGAGTGAGACCTCTGGCTAGATCTAGACACTTGGCTCTTTGGGTCCTGTTTCTACCTCAGCTTAAAAGTTGTAGGACATCAGAGAGATCACACAGGAAATGGATGGACTGCTTGTATTTCTCTCTCTTTTTTAACCACGCAGAATGTCTGGAGAATCCTCTAGCCCCTCTGAGTCAAGGGAGGAAGCTGCTGCAAGTGTTCTGTGTAACTGATATGTCCTGAAATGACTGACCTAACAAATGCTCTGTTCTCAAATTCCTATACATTCTGGTGAAAAAAGTAGACATTCTAAAACAAAACAAAACAAAAAAAAGGTAAAAATCCCTTCCAAGCAGCCACAGCTATTTTCTAGAAGGACAGGCTTCCCAGGCCGCGTGGCAGCGTGGCTGTTCCTGAGCACAGTCCTGAGCATGGCAGAGCTCAGTGCGGCTCAGTGCCCACCTGCCTTCAGACCAACGCTCCAGCAGACTGCAATTCTCATGGTGTTTTGGTTCTAGTGGACAAATCACTTCATTTCTAACTTTTATAGTCTGAATTCACTTGTTTAAAATATGGACAGCCATCTGTAGCTTTTTGTATTTGTTTCTTAGCTTCAAAATTTCTTGTTTCTTCGCTTTTAAATTTAAGCCTTCAAGGGCTTCCAAGTTTATCTCTGAGATGCTTTAACTATGATTGTACTTTAAGGGTTGTGGGAAGTGTGTATGATTAATGGAAAAAGGTTTTGGTCTCAGCATCAACATAATGATCTCAATGTTTTGGGGTGGGGTCTACTTGGAGATAATCTGCTCTCATGTGGTCTAAAATGTTCAAAGTCAAATGGTAGTTCACAGTCTGGCCTGGAGCCTCCCACTCCATGGTCTAATCTCCATGGCAACTTCATGGTGCCACTTAAAAAACTGGGCACAGAGCAACAGTGAGACCCCAATGGGCTGTTTCTCGCCATCAATACTCCGGATCTCACCAACATCCCATTCTTGAGTAAGTGGCTTGCAGAACCACTAGAGGGCAACACAGCACTAGGTAATCAATGGGAACTGAGGCCAACTCACTGTGGATAAATTATTTTGAGTAATAAATTCCCATTAAAAATACATGTTATGACTAAGTAAAATAATAATACATCAGTAACAATACATAACACAACAGAATTTTTAGAGCTGCCTGACATATTTTAGTTAACCAGTGCACAATGACATCCAAAACTGTGAGAATGATCACAAAGTAAAATAAAGAACAGCTTCAAATATTACAGCTACAGTACAGATAACCTTTACGTTTAAAGACAAGCTGTATAAAACACACCAGCATGCATAAACATTTAAAACAGAAGGTATGTAAACGAAACCAGCCTTTCCCCCATGCTTTCATGCAGTCTTAACCTGCCCCTGCTAAAAACCGAACATTCCAAAGTTTTCATTCTTCTTAGGGCCATCTAATTCACATGATTACTTCTGTGAGGACTGGTTTTAGCTTTGAAAGAACAGATTAACTGCAAGTTATCTGTAGTCAGGTTTGTTTTCCAGAGAAGCAGAAAACATTTATTTTGGAGAAGGGTGTTTTTTTGAAGGAAATGTACATTTGTGTCTGAGTAAAGAGGGAGCCCCCTTGTGGTTCAGACAGACTCATGCAGGATGAAATAATTCCAACTCTGAGCAAGGTGACCTCACCAAAAATGATGTAATCTTTTTTGAAGGGAAGAGAAAGAATACAAGATCTTGTGTTAACAATCTGAGGAACTTTGAGGGTGAAGTCATTTTCTAAAAATATTTTAATAATTTAGAGAGTTATACAAGGTATTTTTAGATTCTTTCCTTCAAAAAAAAATCTTAATAAGTATCCAAGCACTCATGGACAGCTATTGTTTTTGAAGACTTTTTTCCAATATTTCCTCAAATAAAATGGGTCAACAGAGGCGCTTACAAACAGAAAAACAAGAACCGAACACCAACAGACCGCTTGGTGATTCAAAGGATTTGGATAGTTTAATAAAAAGAAAAAAAATCTGTTAACAAAGGAACATTGGCAAACTTCAACTCCTTTCAAGCAGAAACCACACTCACCAACTCCAATTCCTCTTCCTCCGACTGTACTCAGCACATAGGAGGGATAAAAGAGTTACTAAGACTGCTGGTAGTTGGAACAAAGTATATTTTTAGAAAAGCACATCATTTGGACACTAGCAGTTGTTTGCAGCTCTACAGAGATACTATGTATACAACAGAAATATAAATTAATGCATCTCAACAATTGTAGCTGATATCTCAAGAAAATGAAAAAAATCATCTTTTGAATTTATGGTAACCGAGATTTAAACATACAACTCCTCTCAATCAGTCTTCTATGCCAGCCTTGCCTGCATACAGCCACATTACGCATCAAGTGACAATATTTTAAAGCAGTCTCTGTGATATTGTGGTATCTGGAACCATGAGGACAGTCCACATTTGCATCAATCTTCCCATCACTAGCTGACCCAGTCACACATTTCCACTTACCTCCTACCAGATTCTGTGCCCCTTGGTAAGCAGAAACTAGTGATTGATATATATATATATATATATATATATATATATGCATATATATATGTATATATATATGCATTTGTTTAAAAGAATAATATTTAACCGATTTGAAAGGCAGAGTTACAAACAGAAGGAAAGAGAGATATTCTGTTAGTTCACTCTTTAAATGGCTACAATGGCTAGAGCTGGGGCTGGTCTGGAGGCAGGAGCTAAGAGCTTCCTCTGGGTCCACCATGTGGGTGTGCAGGGAACCAAGCCCTTAGCCCATCTTTTGCTGCTTCCCCGGCACACTGGCAGGGAGCTGAATCACAAGCAGAGTAGTGACTGTATGAGACACTGACACTGCAGGGCAGGTTTACTCTCCATGCCCCAGTGCCAGCTCCACACTGGTTTATGTTTAATGTCCCCAACTGCCTAGTACAGTGTCGTGAAACAACAAAACTCAGTATCTGTTATACGAAAGAGCATGGGGAACATTCCACCTAGCTTAGGGCAAGCCAACATCCGCATATTCAAGTGCCTGGGTGCCTCTTGGCTCAGGCTCTGCACTCTAGGCTCCTTCTAATACAGCTCTTACAAAGGCTGTGATGGACCAAGTAACTGCCCATTCAGCACCTGGCCAGAGTTCCAGGCCCCTGGCTTCTCCCCTGTCACTGGAGGTTTGTGAGCATTTGGGGAGAGAACCAGCAGATGAGACCTCCTTCTCCATGTCTGTCTATCTGCCTCTTGAATAAATAAAAAATTACAATATACACATTTTAAATAAATGTTTCCTATGTTCATAATCTACAAATACAGTTTTGATATAAATAAAATAATTTCAATGGAGAAAAACTCAGAAAATGACACTGGAAGTAGAATGAACTATTAAGCTACAATCCAGAAAGAAATTAGTGGAATATATTTGGGTTTTCTTCTAAACAATCACTAAATATCAATATGCTCAAAACAATCAACTAACTAGTTTTCTCTTACTTCATCTAAACAAGTCTACACACACCACTCTGACACATTAAGACTCTACAAATGACTGTGTAAAACAGGAGGGAGGGTGGCTGTTCACCCCGAGAGCTCTTCACCTGGCTCACTGCTGCTCTTCAAATGTGGGTAAACTCCCCTCACCCGTCCTGTGGTACACACTGCGGCACATCTCCAGCTATCAAACACTGACGTGTCTTTGTCTTACCCTCTACAAGGATAAGAGTGTAAATCATTGATTTAGCAAATTTGAGTTTACCTTGAATATGTAGCATTATTTCTTAACAAAAAGTTTACACATAGTTTATTAAACACCAGTAAAAATAGCCTGTCTAAACTTTGCAACTACACTAATAATTATATTAAATATAATAAAAAACAAATTTATGTTCTTCCAATGACTTTTTGTATTTTCTAAAAGTTACTTCTGAAAAATGACAGTAGGTATAACATCCATTTACTGGAAGATAAACCAACAGATCATATATTTTTTTCTCATTTCCTTTTTAGATATACTGTTATACATTTTAAACCTACTTTGAAATTATTTTAGACTTACAGAGCAGTTGAAAAGACAGCTCCCTTACACACCCAATCTAGCTTCCCCTAACGTTAACATCCAGAGAAACTCAATATGCTGCTGAAAATAAGAAACATTCTAGTACCAAGTGCAGCTCTGGACCTGGATTTAACCAGTCTGTGTGCCAATGTCCTTTTCTGATCTTGGATCAGACACTAACTATCACAAGCATTTGGTTCTCTTGTTCTTTCTGTAGTCGCCTCCCCAGTCTGAAATAGTTCCTCAGCATTTGTTTACTGTAGCCTTTGCACTTTAGAGCCATGAACAGGTATTTTGAAGACTGTCCCTGTCTCTCCCCTGGGGCTTGTCTGATGCCTGTTCACAGGTAAACACACCAGATGTGCCCATAACATTGGAAGGCACAGGTCCGCTTCAGGTCCTATTGTTAGGGATGCCAAACTTAATCCTTTGGCTGTCACTGTTTCAAAGACCTCTCAGCAAACAGAGCTGGGAAATACATAATGTAGACATGATGCTTACTAATCCGTATATAAACACACTTCTGTGTCTACCTGTGTATATACTTTTACTTCATTTGTTGTTGAAATTACTTCCTTGAGTTTTAATATCTAGGGCTCATAAGTGCTTGGATCACTTACCTCACATCTGCTACTTGAGCAATGATATGAGAGGAAGGTTGAAAATTCCAACTACGATGCGTACTTTTCTCTTTTAATTGTATGAATTTTCTCTATATACATTTTGAACATCAACTATTATGAGAATATTCATTAAGGATAGTTATATTGTGGGAAACAGATGAGGCTGTATCTATCTATCAACATTTTTCTATATATAACACTCTATTATATAAAACACATCTATTTTTCTTTCAGTTGTTCAGTTTATTTTTCTTCATTTTATTTGAAAGGCAGAGAGATTAAGAAAGATACAAAGAAACAGAAATCTGTCTGGCTTACTCCTGAACAGGCCACAACAGCTAGGACTGGGCCAACATAAGCGAGGAGCGAGGAACCCAACCCAATCTCTTATGTGAGTGGAAGGGACACGGCTTCCTGAGCCATGCCAGCCCCTGCCCCCCAGGGTGCATATAAGCAGACAGGTGGAACCAGGAGCAGAGCTGGTACTTGAACCTAGACACACCAGAACAGATATGGCCATCCCAAAGGCAACGTATCCACAACAAAAGCTCACCCTACAATTAATTTTCCATCAAATTTCACCTTCAAATAATAATTACATTGTGTCACAGGTAGAATAAGGACCCACAATGGTACATTTTCAATTCCACCTGTCCACCCTTTGTTGTTATATACTTTTATTACATGTTGTAGTCACAAAATACAATACCACTATTTCTGCCATTTTTATAGCAATTAAAAAGATCCCACTCTCTAAAAAAAAAAGGAATAAGGACTCCTGGATAAATGCCTAATGCTAAGTCATGACCCCAGAACATACTGTAGTGCTAGAAAAATAAAAAGTGTCACCTGCCCCCAACCCCAGAAAACTCCGAAAGAATAAATGTACAGCCTGCAAGAGCTGAAGCGAGAACAATCTCAACAGGAGAGAACCTGGGTAGGATTCCTGCGTGCAGCTCCTGACTCAGCTTCCTGTTAGTGTGCCCTCTGCGAGGCAGCAGTGATGGTCCAAAAGGGTGACCTCACCTGAGTTCCTGACTCAGCTTCCTGTTAGTGTGCCCTCTGCGAGGCAGCAGTGATGGTCCAAAAGGGTGACCTCACCTGAGTTCCTGACTCAGCTGTGGATGCTGAAGGCCCTGGGGAGAGTGAACCAGCAGGCGGGAGATCACTTCATTTAGCTGTTGGTCTCTGCCACTCAAAGGAAACTTTAGCATAGAAAGCATATGATTGGATCTTGTTTTTACTTTTGTATTACAATGTGACAACATCTACTTCTAATCTATTCTGATGATATCCTTCAACTGCGCTATTTAGATCATATATACATATATAACTATAATTATTGATATGGTTGGATTTAAGTCTGTCACCATGCTGTTTTCTAACCATTTTATTCTAGTTTGAGTCTTTTTCACTTCTTGATAATGACTCAAATTTTTCCCAGCATCACATTCTCTGCCAAAATACTTCTAATATTCTTGTACAATTGGTCTACTATCAATAAATTTCCATTTAAAAATATTTTATTTATTTGAAAGGCAGAGCAATATAGAGAGGGAGAGAAACTTCATCTCCTGATACACTTTCCACATTCCTGCAATAGGCGAGGCAGAGCCAGGAGCTTGGCATTCCCACAGGTTACCCAAGTATTAGAGCTATCATTTGCTACCTGTACCAGGCAGAAAGACACACACACACACACACACACACAGAGAGAGAGAGAGAGAGAGAGAGAGAGAGAGAGAGAGAGAGAGAGAGAGAGATTTTTTTGTCCACTGGTTCATTTCCCAAATGGCCACAATGGCAACAGCTGTACCAGACTTAACCCAGGAACTCCAACCGTGTCTCCCATGTGAGAGCAGGGGCCACCTGCAGCTGCTTTCCCGGGCACATTATAGCAGGGCCTGGGCTGGAGGAGCAGCATCCAGGATTTCCAACAGCATCCATATGAAATTCCATATCACCAGCCTTTTCAGCTTGTTATTCAATTTGGGTAACTCCTATTGACTTTCAGACCCTATGGGCTTTTTCTTTTGCTAGGCTTTTAGTGTAGGATTTTAGTTCTTTGCTTGAAATTGGATTACTTTATTTACTCAAAAGGCAGAGAGGGAGGGAGGAGGGGGAGGAATGGAGAGGGAATAGGTATCAAGAACTACCTATTGGTTGTTGGTTCACTCTCCAAATGGTTAATTTGGCCAGGTTGGGCCAGATGGAATGCAAAAACTAAGGACTTCATTCAGGTCTCTCTAGGTGGCAGGGGCCCAAGTAACTGGAGCATATTCAATTATTTTGGAAGTTCTTTACAAGGAGCTGAATGGTAAGTGGAGCAGCTGAGGCTCAAATCAGCACTCCAATATGGGATCACCACCCTTGCAGGCAGCACTTAACCCACTTCACCACAACAGTGGCCCCAACTGTTTGGCCCTTATTTTTGCAATGGTAACCTTCCACAAACCTACCTCCCATTTCTCTGGGGGTCGGGATAATTAGCCAGGGATCCTCCTGTACTGCCGTCACACTCCTGCAAGCAACTTCTCCAAGCTCAGTTTACAGCACCTCCTTTGTGCTGTGCCTCAGGAAGTGACCCTGTTACTCTACTACCCCTAGCCTGCCTTCCTGCTCCTCCACCACAGGACTGATGTTTTTCCTTTTCCATCTCATCAGGAAAAAGGGGATTTCAGCAGTGTCCTAACAGTAATAATGCTTCTTGCTCACCTCCTCTCAGGTTTAAGAGCTTTGTTGCATAAAAGAAAGGATCCTGCTTCTCCTGATGTAAGCAGTTACTCTTACTATTTCTCAGTTGTGTATCAAAAGGGTGACTTTTCATTCTCAATCTGCGTTCAGAGTGAAAAAGCCTGTAAAAAAACACAAGACTCATCCTCTACTTCACAACTGGCACACCTGGCTTCTGGTCATTCACTAAGACCCTGGCTAGCTCCCATCACCTGCATCTTCCTGCATCCTGCCCAGTGCTCCCAGGGAGTCTCTCCCACGCTGTGTCTCTCTCCATGGCACGTGGGTCTACTGACCGCCCTGAAATCTCCACTGATTGCTCAAGGACCACTCTACCTGTAATATTCCATATTTCTTTCATTAGATGGTTGGGAGCAACACATAGCTTTTAGCTTTCTGTATCTCTGAATGAAAAAGTACTTCTTGTTTTTTGACCCAGGGTTTAAGACTAAAAAGAGATCAAGAATCACAGGTTCTGTCTATATTTCATATCATCTTAAATAAGCAGTAACTTTTAGCTCAGTTTCCTCATTTCTACAATCACATTCTACTTTAGAATCAAATGAACAATGAGGATGTTTTGGAAATCTATAAGCATTAAATGAATGCAGAATTACTATTTAAGTCTGATGCGAAATTTAGCTCTGCTCAGGAGTAGGAATCACTTTATGGGCTAGTGGTTAAAGAGTTGCAAAACTAAGAACAGTTTTATAACTTGAATATATTCTACTTTTCTTCTGCAAGAAGCTAAGGGAGGTTAACAGATTTTACTCTTCATGAACACAGATGTAGGATTCAAAAGCAAATGAAGCTAAACAGTGTAACATTGTCAGGGACAGAAAGATGCAAGTGTATTCCTGCATTTTTTTATACCAAAGAAAATTATTTGTAGAGTAACTCATTCAAGGTACATTCTTCCTTGTTCTACAAGCTTTTTTTGATACATAAAATTTTCTAACAAACAATTTAAGTGATTCACAGAAAAGCCTATAACAAATTAGAGATGAGTTAAGAAATTAGTTAAGAAATAGTCATGTTTAATTTGTAAATTTCAAGATGAATCTTGAAGCAAAGATTCTAACATGGTGAAATCAAAATTAAGCATAACAGCCTCTCTGTACTTAGCTTTGATTTCAAATAACCATTAATCAAATTTGTTTCCTATTTTCCCACAATCTGATTTTTGGGCACTTAATATAAACTTGTTTCGTCAAAAGGCCAAATTTGAATAGAAATAATCATTATGAAAAAGTACGGATTCTATGGAGGTACAGAAAATTGCAAAGGAACATTCAGATGTACACATTGTATGTTTTAAGCAATGTGTGAGGGGATGGTGGTCATACTTAAGATTAAGTGTCTGCTTGGGATATTCTGACCCCGTTCAGAGTGTGGGTTCAAGTCCCAGCTACTCTGCTTCTGATTCAGCTTCCTGCTGTTGCAACCTGGGAGAGGCAGTCACTGACAGCTCAACTGCTTTGTGCCCCTGCCACCCACATGGAATACCTGGATGGAGTTCCAGGTTTCTGGCTTCAGTTCACAGCATCTGGGGAAATCAACCAGCAAGCAGAACATACAGTTCTCTTATTTCTTGACTTTTCAAGTAGATGAAAACAAATATTTTTAGAAAATTGACATTAAGAAAAGTTTCAAAACTTACTAGTGGAGGCATCATGCCCTTGCTTGAAGGGGGGATAACAACTCGAAGATCAGGTTTTCGATTGTTCATTCCAAGATTACCACCACCTGGTGGTGGAGGAGACTTTGTAGGCATGACTTTGCCTAAACTATTTGCACCAGCAGTTCCAATTAAATTTGGAGAAGCTCTTGCGTTTACAAATCCATTCCCTGGAAAAAAATGAAAACTAATTAACATGAAAGGAATCATTAAAACACCTCAATATAAATGTAAATTGAATATTCTCCAGTCTCTACTGCAAATGAAGTTTATAACAAAACTCACTAGTACCTAACCATGTATCTTGCGCTATTTTGAACATAAACACAGAAAACCAAAGTCTGAAGCACATATAAAAGTTAAATCTACTTACATTTTTGTTCCAGCACTACTGCTTGGACCTGTTTAGAGATACTTAAAATACACAGCAATTCCTATTGGAGAGTAAGTCAATTAAGATATTGTAAGAAAAATGTCTTGAGGCCCAGCACACTGATTGTTGGAAAGCATGTAGGTCTCGGCTAACAGCAGCATCTCCTGAGCTAATGCTTATTTAGTGCTCACTCTCACGCCTCCACCTACTCTTCCTTATGGCTACTTGCATCTGCTTTGGTTCTCTTCCCACTGAGTTGTTTACTACATATCTGTGGTTTATCTGACTTTAGTCTTCTTCTTCCTCCTAGGATTCACGAACAGAACCATCCACTCCTCTCTGATGAAATAAGGAGCTAGGAATAGCCTATTTTACATACAGAATATACCAGATGAGATATAAGACAATCACCCGTTTTCCTTAAGACTGCAGTCGTGTCAGTGCTTCCTGTGTACAAGTCTTGTGGAATGGGTCGAGCTGACCTCACGTCAAGTCTCCTCCAGCCCCCTTGCTACAGATTGGCGTGGTTGTGAGCATTTTTGATCCAGGTCCAAATCAAGTACTTAAAGCACCTTCCCTTACCACAGGGAATGGATCCAGAATTATCATCCAGAACCTAGATCAAGACGTTGTTGTGGCTGCAAAGGAGGCACTGACATTTCTCCAAACATGACTGGGGAAAGTAATCTAAGTCAACTTGAAACTGACAAGTTAGCCAGAAGGAGGCTGATATTGGAGAGCAAATCAACAGAAATGTGAAGCAAAGGCCTTGACTGCACTGCTTCTGTTTTGTACTATTTCCAAGTCAATAAATCCCTTGTACTGCTTAAGCCTGAGATAGCTGTTAGTGTTAGCAACACACACACAGAATAGTTTACAACATTGTACAGGAACACACAATGCTCATTTTAAAATACAGGTAATATATTCAATTTTTAAGTAGAGTACAAACAAAATAGGGAAAAATGGAAACAAATCACATATATCTATAAAACTCTGCTGAAAATTTAATTGCTAAATTTTAGCTAGTGTTAACTGTCCACTAACAATGTATTCAGAGCAGGTGTTTGGATCAGCAGTTATGTTTTCACTTGGAACATCCAATTAACCCAGGGAGTGACTGAGTCAGTTCCGGAACAACTTCCAGTTCCACTTTCCTGCTGATGCACACCCCAGGAAGCAGTTGGGTTCCTGAAATTCATCTAAGAGACCCAGACTGAGTCTCTAACTCCCTACGTTGGCCCAGCCCAGCTTCGGTTACTGTGGCTATTTAGGGAATAATCCAATGAAGATAGAACGCTCATCTCTGCCTGTCTCTGGCCTTCAAAATACATACAATTTTAATGAATTACATTATTCCTATTTCCTTTTTAAAATTGATTAATCTTACGGTCAAAACACACAAAAAACTTTAAGTTTACTATGCACAGTTTAATTTTAGTAATAAACAAAAACTTAATGTCATGAATTTTGCATTATTTTTCTACTTTGAACAGTTATTAGTCTAAATCTACTATATTACAGTATGTAGGTATTAATTTAAGAGCACTGGATGAATTTGTTGGGTTAAGAACGCCATTAGCAATGTTTATTATAAAGCTGGCCAAGAACAGAATGTTCAGGACGGTGAACTAAAAGTTTCTGCAGGAATCAATCTATCTCTTCAATTCTCTAGGAAAGACTGAAACCGTAATTAACTGCAGCAATCACTTAAAGTTGGGTAATAATGTAGAAATAAATAAAGAATTCTAAAACATGTATTAGTGGCTAGCATGGTGACAAGGCTGAGCATCTGCCTCTAACTCTGCCTTTAAAATAAAAAAGAAATAAATCTAAAAAACAAAAAGTATTATGTCTAGACTACTGTATAAAACTGGGCAGGTATTTAAAGCAAGGGGAAAAAACCCCACATAATCTTCAAATAAATCTTATGTATTGCAAAAGCAGACACATACCACACCGGCATAAACATGCCAAATTGCACTTGCATTCAATATGGCCAAAAGCAATGCAACTAAGGATAATTATGCAAAATTTGTAATTACATTAAAAAGCAATGATCACAGGTATGCAGCCCTGTGAGGATTGTATTCTGGGAAATAAAATGATTTGCTCCAAGAACCAAATACCTTAATGATGGGAGCCAGTGTTGTGGTGCTACCACCTCCAATGCCACCATCTGCAATGGAGCACCAGTTTGAGTCCTGGCTTCTGCATTTCTGATCCAGCTTCCTGCTAATGTGCCAGGGAGGACAGCAGAGTATTACAAGTGTTGAGGTCCCTGTCGCCTACATGGGAGACCTGGATGAAGTTCTAGGTTTCTGGCTTTGGCCTGGCTCAGCATGAGAGCACTGTGACCATTTGGAGAGTGAACCAACAGATGGAAAACATCAGTCTATCCCTCTGTCACTCTTTCAACTAAAAAATAAAAGGCAATGATGTTAAACAGCAATACAAAAGCTCTTCAATAATGATACAATGTGTATAATGAAATGGGTCAGCTAGTAAGTAGACATATGAATTCTAAAATAAAAAACAGGGCTAACCACTTGAGCAAGAACCTCAGAGCATGCCCTACACCCGGGACTTGGGGAGGGTGGGAAATTGGGTGGGCCTTCTCCCTTAATAACCCCCTTTTAAACATGAAGGTAACAATATGGAAAACATACTAGTATTATCCACTTTCCTGTAGCCCTTGAACCTTCTTACTCTAACTAAGTATGTAAAGAATGTCAAAATAAATTTTATTAATTAAAAAAAAAAAACAGGGCTAGGAAGATTTGCAAAGATAAGCTAAAGACCCCAGCTGTGGGCCAATGGCCTAAAATGCATTGTACCTAGGCAAGTGTTAACACTGCTGGGAGCAAAGCAGCTAACAGCTGATGGGAATCCTGGGCCTGGCTAATGCCAAACCAGTGTGCCAGCATAGTCAGCTAGTCTATTTTTTTTTTCTAAAGAAATGTGAAGGGGTGCTGGGTCCTTTAAGCTCAGGGGGTTGGGAGGGATGTCAGGCAGGGCTCAGGTCACCTGGCCTGGGTCCATAGGTCCACCTGCATGGTGGGTGCCAGGCCCATGAGTCCCAGGGGTGGTGGGTCTGGTAGGGCCAGGGTTACCAGTGGCACTGGCCACTCCATAAGGCACTTGTGGGTGCTTGGTGTGTGGACTTGCAGGGAGTCTGGGGGATGGCATGGGTGAGAGCATGCAGGAACATGAGGGATTATATCCAGGATTGGTGGTCTGATGGTAGAATGCATATATCAGTCTACGGCCACATCACCCTGAACACGCTGGATCTTGTCTGATTTCGGAAGCTAAGCAGGGTCAGGCCTGGTTAGTACTTATATGGTAGAATGCATGTGTCAGAACTGGGCCTCTTCAGTGGAAAAAGACAGAGCAGTAGATGTCAAACCTAGATGCACACAGAGGATATGGCAGCCCACTGAGGCCTGCAGAGGACATCTGGTACCCCAGCAGAGAAAGGAGGGCAGAATAAATTGAACAACTACTCCAACTAGGCAATGACAGCAAATATTTGGGCAAAATGGAGACTCTAAAGTGGACTATATCAGCCAATGAACCTTGGAAGGATTTCCTCATCCTCAGATTAGGGAGACTGACAGCATTTCTTCACTACTGAAAACACTTAAGCAGAAACCCCGGAACATGCTCCACATTGGGGATCCTGGGTTAATATTATGTGGCTGTTTCCCATCTCTGGGTACCGGGGAGGTTGGGAGGCTGGGTGTGGCTTCTCCCCTCATCCCCAGCCCCCTTCCTCCAGATACAGAAAGAAGAAAAAGAAAATTTGGAAACAACACTCTCACCCACTGCCCCTAATCCTCCATCCTTCCCACCCTAACCAATGTAAGTATAAAAAAATAGAATTAAAAAAAAGATAAGTTGAAGAGAAAATAGACATTTCCCTATATCTGTTTGATTATAAAATACTTAAGAGTTTGAAAAGGAAAGTCATTTTGTCGAGATATTTATACAGCAAACTAAAAACTACTATTTACGAGCTTTAACTTCACTGCATGTGAGTCACCATCCTTTCAAGCTTGCTGTCAACACAGTGGGGCAAAGGAATGAGAAGTGAGCTAGGTACTGCAGCTGTCCCGGCTCTCCCCTAATCATCACCTGAACCTCAGGACTCCTGCTCTCATAGTGAGTTTTGTTCTTCCTTTTCTTCCAATTTCCTCTTGCTTTTCCAAGACCCACTGACCTACTGTTTGACCTTTCCGTTTTCATTCATTTGTTTCATTTTATTTTGCTATGGGGCGTATTTCAATAAGCCTTATAAAACCACTTCCTGCTTACTGCTTCTATGATTGTGAAGGGTATCCATTAAATCTCAGCTGAATCTGCTTTCCACAAGACCAGAAAACAATTTCCTGCATCCTGCTCAGAGAGCGGTGCGGTGAGCGCACCCCGCTCTTCCCAAGCCATCCCCTGTGGGGCAGACTGCATCCAGGAGCTGGGCAGAGGTTGCTGCTTTTCCAGACTCAGGAGGCTACAGAGCAGACACTAAGTCAGTTTACTGAAAAATAGGAAGATAAAACAAAAACTTCATACTGCACAGCAATATGAGAAAGCCAGATGAACATTTTTCTCACTTATAATATTATGAATGTTGCATTCATAATGCAACATGAGATACAGAAAGTGGATGTAAAAGCACAACATTTCTGAAGTCAGAGTCTGTAGCAGATAATGATTACAGGATGATGTCAATGTTTGGTAATTTGCCAGCAGGAAGCAATAATCTCACAAGCATGACTTGCTATTTTACTACTGAAT